TTGGTTAAGTGTCCAACTTCGGCCCAGGTCATGATCTCGCAGTTCTTCAGTTCAAGCCCTGCATTGGTCTCTGTGCTGACAGCTCAGAGCCTGCAGCCTGCTTCAGATTCTGTGTCTCCCTCTCTCTCTGTCCCTCCCCCGCTTGTTCTCTCTTGCTCTCCCTCTCTCTCTCCCAAAAATAAATAAAAATTAAAAAAGAAAAAAGAAAGAAGAAAAGCAGAATCCAAGAGAAGTGTGCCACTGGAGGCAGTGTTGCTTACCTTCTCATGGTCCTGTGGGGTGACCTGGTTCTGGCCAGGACTAAAGCCCCCAGGCTGACCTCCACCCTGAATGTTTGCTCCTTGCATGCCTGCTCCCTGCATAACTGGGACCTATATGCATAAAGAGAGATGAGGAGAGATGTTTCAGAACTTCTCATATAGGTATTCAGGATCCAATAATAATGTGAAAAACATGAACTGATTATGGATATGAGTAAAAAAACAAAAAAAGCAAATTAATGATTCTGAAGATCATTTCCTACTGTTAGCAATGGCAGAAGGCAGACTTTAGCCAGAGATCGACTAGCAACTTAGACACATTTGCTTACAATAGCTCCAGCATCATCAACAAATATAACACTGAACAATCAGATACCATCAAATCAAGCAAAATCCAGCTGCATAAACACAGAGAAAACTGAGAGCATCCTAGAAACTAGTGCTCAGTGGAAACAGAAATGAAAGCCAGCAGATTCTAGAAATAATGTATGCTGGTCCACTGGGGAAGCTACATTCACAGGGATACCGCCTACCTCTAGTTCAATCAGACATAGGCAGTTTGTTCCAAAGGGCCCTATCCCACAAGCAAGGCAGAGACGATCATAATGGCAGAGGCAGAAAGGAGATGGGAAGGCCTCTGGGGAAAAGACTGTTATTAGCCCAACATTTGCTTTTTATAACTTTCCAGAGAGAATATGCAGCAGATACTTTCTGCTAAATTACAGACCAAGAAATATCACTGACCCAAGTTAAAAGAACAAAATGCAGTTATATCACTTATTTAAGATCTTCGGTGACTTCAATCTTTGGGAAGACTACCATACCCCAAGGAAAAGGCCTCAGAGCACCTAGAGTCACTGTTTAAGTTCCCTCTGCTATTATGTTCACACTCAGGCATTCACCCAGAGTTGAGGTACTCTTATTAAACACAAATTGTTAACTTGTTACCTGCTTCCCCAGAAAATTAGAAGCATCAAAACTCAAAAAGAAATGTGATAAACCGTTAGGAGCAGATACCAGGACAGCAATGTGAAGAGCCAGGTGACAAACTGACAGTGGAGGAGACCAGAAACCAAACAGGAGGTAACTGTGTTTTCTGTTACAGCATATACAGTAATGGGTACATGTAATGATGACCTTGAGTAATCAAAAAATGGTGAAAATTGTTTTTCCTATCTTGTTTAAGAAGGGAAGGAAGCATAATACACTTCATTATCACTTTCTGTTCTTCTTGAAAAACATTTTTTCAAATGCTTATTTATTTTTCGAGAGAGATTGACAGAGTGTGAGCAGGGGAGGGGCAGAGAGAGAGAGGCACAGAATCTGAAGCAGGCTTGAGGCTCGAGGCTCTGAGCCATCAGCACAGAGCCTGACACGGGGCTCGAACCCACGAACCGTGAGATCATGACCTGAGCCAAAGTCAGACGCTCAACCAACTGAGCCACCCAGGCACCCCTATCACTTTCTGTTATCAATACTGAATCCAGAGACCGGTCTGAACTTTAATGTTGTGCTACAGATCTGAAATATCTGTGAGGATAACATTTTTTACATTTTAGTTAATACTAATTTGAACTATTATAACATGACCTAACCATTCAATAATGGCCATTTCAAGTTTCCAGGAGTGCCTATTCGAGGCAGACAAGTCACAATATAGGTGACTACACAACCAGGTTTGCCTAAGATAGTCCTAGTTTATGCTTTTGCCCTAGGCACAAGGACAGTGAAAGAAAGGAAAAATATATACATTTTTTTTAATAATGCATATTTTCTAACAGTCTTCTTTGTTAGAAAGACATAACAGAAGTTGAACAAAAGCAATTATCTGTAGGAGATGGGGGTCACAAGGGAGATGGATACAGTGGACAAAGCAAGGTTCTCACTGTATATCTTTTATGTATGAATGAACATACTACTTTAAACAATTTAAAAAAAAGGTTTGAAGACAAAATTTATTTTCACCTCAGATCTAATAGGCTTTATACAATCTACTAATTAAAATTATATAAACCTAACACTACAGAGTAATGAATTCAAGTGCTAGCAGAGATGAAAGAGCAAGACTTTCTCCAGAAACAGTCTTCCAACCATTATTTTCAATGAAAATATTGACAGAATTATACAATCACATCATGCAATTATTTGTTGTCAGTTTTCCCAGCTAGGATGCAAGCTCCAGGGGCCCAGGAACTTTGTTTTGTTCACACTGCTATATCCCCAGTACCTAAAGCTGTCTCTGCTACACAGGAGGTGCTCAATAAATATTTGTTGAATGACTGAATAAATGCATAAAAACCATTTTTGTTATGAGGCTACTGACCATAGAGGGCAGAATAAACAACAAGGCCCACACACACACATTTTTTAAAAAGCATAACTTGAAAGAAAAAAAATAGAGAATGGTTTTATTTCACACATACCAGAAAACGACATACTCGTATTTCCTATTAAAGAGGGGGGAGGCAGACATACATACATGTATGTCTACACACATACATAACATGCAGATAACAGGACAGAGTGGTACAGTGGAAAAAAATAGTGGGTTCTATTCCTTACTCTGTTACTTTTTAGTTGTGTGAATTTGGACAAGTAACCTGAATTCTTGGATCTCAATTTCCAATTCTATAAAACAAGAGAAATGGATGGCTGACATGTTCAATTCCAGCTGACTCTCTCCCCCTACCTCTCTCTCTCTCTCTCTCTCTCTCACACACACACACACACACACACACACGAGAGCAAGACACATAAACATATGGAAGAGGGAAGAGAGCCAGAAGTACATAGAGGAAGGAGGAAGACAAATGGAGAAAGGAAGACGGAGGGGCTAGAGGGAGATGAAGGTGCTAGCACCTAAAAACTCAGGGAAGCCACATGTATATCACCATCTCCCCACAACCAATTTTGTTGAAAAGGGAGGAGATGACAACACATAGACAATCATAGATCACCACATACACAGAGCTGGAAATAGCCAAACAAGAAGAGATAAGAATTCAGTTCCACAGGTTTTAAGGTAAGCATTAGTAAATTGCCTTTGATACTCCACTGTTCACTTAGGCTGTTTGATGAAAGTAAATTAAAATAGGTTTCTGCAAAACTAAGATTACCTGAATTGATTACCTATAGCTGTTCATATGCTCTAATGCAGTTCTTATGGTTGTACATTAGAATCATTTGGAGGAGGTTTTTCAAATTATCCATGCCTAGATTCTAGTGAGACACACTCTGTCTCCTAAATTTGCAGGGACTCTGGTCTGAATGGAAGAGCTCCTTAAATTGTGGGACAAGGTTGCCACAATCCTGGTGCCTAGCAAATAACCACCTTAAGGGACACAGAAACTAAAAGAAGGGAGATTCTAATCTTCCCATTTTAACAAACTGAGAAATAGCCTAAATCAGAAAGCAGTAACAGGCTTAATTATCAATTCCTGAATAGATTAAGATTTCACATAGAAGTAAGAAGTGAGTGTTGCACATACCTGTCTGGATCCCTGGGGGCCAACTGCCCCCATGTTAATTGGACTGGGACCTTGGATTCCACTAGGTATAGGACCTCTAGGACCAGGGACTGGGCCCCTTGTATCCATACTTCTGGCTTCTATCCCTCTGACTTCCATTGCACGGGCCTCCATCGCACGGGCCTCCATTGCACGGGCCTCCATCGCTCGGGCTTCCATAGCACGGGCCTCCAATCCTCTGGCATCTAATCCTCTAGCCTCCATGGCTCGTGCCTCCATTCCTCGTGTATCTATGCCTCGGGGATCTCTTCCGCCTATAAAGAAAGTTGTAAGAAAACCACCGTGTAGCTACTTATCCTTACTGCAAAAAAACCCAACAATCAAAGAAGAAATCTATTCCTCTAGTCACATCTCCCCCACAACTATAGCTGACCCTTGAACAGTGTGAGGACTGAAGCACTCCCCTAAAACTTAACTACTAATAGCCTACTGTTGACTGGAAGCCTTACCAAAAACATAAACTGTTGATTGACACATATTTTGTATATTATGTGTATTATGTTCTGCATTCTTGCAATAAAGTAAGCTAGAGAAAAGAAAATGTTATTAATTAAATCTTAAGGAAACTAGCACTGTACTATATTTACCAAAAAAAAAAAAAAAAA